AATCAACATCTATGGCAAGCAAATGCTTAAAAGATACAAAATTAGCCTTTTTGTTGAAAAAGAAGCTACTTCTCCGCTTTGGTAGTATTAGCCTGGTGTCTACTCCCCTGTCTTCTGCATCCTATCAGTACTCTAATTCCCAATTCAGCCCTGACTAGCATTATTTCTGCCTCACCTGCAGGTCATAGTAGCACTTTTGTAATGCACTATTCCAGACTTTAAGCATAAGTTCTGCAGTGACTGGCATTACTGCAGTAATTGGTGTTATTTTTCAGCGTTAACCACATTATTTCATCATCAAATGCTTATTTTCCGAACCATTCGTGTTAGTTTAACGTTCAATGTCGTATTTCGGCACTTCCTCCATTAAGTTAGTCTAAACTGGGTTTTTTCCAGACCATAGGAAATCTGTCCAGCATTAGATCTCATTGCGTACTCAGTGTTCAGAATTCGTTTCGAACATAAACAAGGTAATTACCTCACATTTCCGAGGGTGGACGGAACAGAACATCTAGCTATAGGTATTCGATGAATTGGAACGCCGAAAGACTGCGGTCTTTCCTAGAAACTTACGCAGACGTTTGATATAGAGTAATCCGTGGGTATGTTTGTCCTTGATTAAAAGAATGTTTGAAACAAACATTTGTGGGGTCTTCGCATATCCGACCTCTCGATGAGAACATAGAGGTTATGCCTAAGAAGTGAAATAATGAGATGAAAATTAAATTTTAGTGAGACAAACACAGAGGTATTAGGATATTAATATTCTAGCTTTTGTTATCTTGAGAGGATTACGTGAGGTTTGGGAAAGGAAGCCTGGAAAAGTCAGGTGGGTTTCAGGATAAAACGAGGGTGGATTATTTACATATTCACCACCCTCTCATGTACTAAAGTACGACCACTTAACGTCCAGAAATTGGCGTACTTTATAACTCTACCAATAGAGCAGTGTTTCATTAATGTATGGCTGGTACAATTAACCGTTTCAAACGTTGAATAACTAGTATGGTGGAGGCTCACTGACCTGGAGTTTGCTGATAATGTTTTGGTTTTTTAATTCACACTTTTATGATTTATATTCATATTAACTTCCAAATTATTTTGTGGTCAATTCTATCGAAAACTATTTCAAAGTCATTGAGACAGAGATTTGACGGCCATTTTATGCTGTGCTCGTTTACGGTGCGTAGAGTTGCAACTTGATCAGCTTATGATTGGCTTTTACTGAAAACAGCTCGTTCAAAGTAGAATTCTGCATCAGTTATGTTTGCTATTCTCTTCAGGTTGATGCGAACTAGCATTTTGCTTAGCGTGAGTAGGAGCATGATTCCACATCAGTTGTCGCTTAGGCCTGAGTCTTCCTTCTTTGGTAGTTTGACAAGGTGGCCTTTCTTGCAATTTACAGGCAGATATCCTTTCTTTCTTCCAAACCTTTCGCAACAGTGGTGTAAACATATCTGCTGCTGCAGGAATCAGTCGATAGAGTTACAAAGCTGGGTCAAAGAGGTTAGGACATGTGTTAAGGTTGGTGACAGTGAAGCATGATACTGTTCCCCATCGTTCTTAGCGAAGGCCTTGTTTAGATCTCCAAAGTGTTGATAAACAACAGCAGAATAATGCTCAAGACATGAACCGAAATCGCCCAAAATGGTCGGGATGTAACTGGTGTAACCGCTTATAGCCTGTATGCATTCTGTCAGACGGCTGACTCTACAGAGAAACAACCGGTCCAACTTTTCAAAGTCGTAGCAAACTCCGAAACCGAGGGAGATGTTTTGTCAAGCAAGGCTGAAATACTTAAGGAATCATCCTTCCACATCCATGACGACTTATGCCTAGTAGACTGCATTAAAAGAAGGTCTGTGGTGAATTAAGCGGAAGACGGCAAAATGGCGAGAAGAACGTCATTAATAAGGATTTTAAATTAGTTTAAGTTGGAAGCTTGACGATTCCCAAACCTCTGTAAGTTGAATAGGTTGTAGAAAATTGAGCTAATAGCTTGCTACAGTTATATCCACAGCCTGTTTAAAAAGGAGCTGGGTTGTGTGGTTGGCTCTAAACCTGAATGTCGTCGCCATTATGGAAACATGGTTCACATCCATTGTCAGCTATAATGAAGTCCTCTAAACTTCACAGTAAACAGAGCAAATTGACTAGGCCGCAAATGGACTAGCGTTATCGTCTACCTCAAGAAGTACTTGGCCGTATGCAATAGTACAGTTCTCAAAAGTGGACCATGTGAAATTTCACGCTGCATACAAAAATGTAAAGGACGATATATCGACCTTCTTGCAATAGATCTCGCATTCGATTGCACTACTGGCAACTTTCCAGCAGAGAAATGTTCATGGACATTCATAAGTCAACGTTTCATTGTAGACGACTTCAGAACATCTTCACTCTGCTAGACAAGCCCTTCAACACCATCCTCGGACAACTTCTTTGGCAGCAAACTTCTAGAATTTACTACTTCATCAGCCCTAATACAAAATTCTATGAAGCGTATGCTGTATGACTGACAGTACCCCTCCTCTGCCTTGGGTTCCTTTTCAGCCTATGTGGGGGAGGTGGGCTCTTCGCAATGTCCCATAGTCCTAGGAAAAATTGATTACGATGTACTCACTTTCAAGCCCACAGCTACAGCAGTATCGTCGGCTGAAACCCCAGCTCGAATGTAACGTCTGGAGAGCCGACGTGAATGCCGTCGTTTCAATGGCCGCATCACAGGAAGGAAAAATAATTCAGAACCTTACGTGGAAGCTGCATTGAGCCAATTCAAGTTACTTTAAGCTCCAGTCAATCCAACTCTTTTTCCCCATTCTATCCCAAAGGTTCGAAAGCATTTCGTTCCGCGGATAAACAGAGAGATCAGTAGTTTACCAGGCGTGAGCATAAATGCTGGAACATGTTTACCACATCTGCGACTACTGAGGCTGGAAAGTTGAACACCGTCATCAGGAAAAAGCTTTCGCAGTTCGTCAATCAGGAATGAAGTTCGAGACACATTCAGCACAAAATGTAGCAACACAACTACGCGAGCGAGGCATCCAACAAGGTCTCAGAACTGACTACTGATAAGGGCACAACCGAAGTAAACCCGAAGAAAGCAGAAGCAGTAGCAGACTTTTTCTGCAAACTCTTCACAAGGCAGTCGTCCCTCCCCGTAGCAACGGCTCTAACCGCGTCAGGAGATTTCGTCTACGTCCGCCAAAATATCGTATCTCACTCTCTGAAGAAACGAGATGCAGAGAAGCCAATAGGAACCAATGGCCTTCACTCAGGAACCTTCAAGGAGCCGGCAGGTCATGTAACCGGCCCTATCTTCAAGTCGTCTCTCTTGAATGGAGTGTTACTGCGCGGGTGAAAAGACTCAATAGTAACCTCATCCTGGGATGGGGATCGAGACACTACCCTCTGAACCACAGGCCTACAAGTTTCACCAACACCAGCTGGAATGAATTAGAATGTAAGCTGCCGTGGATTGTCTAGAAAACAGTGACTTGTTGTTCGGAGTACAGCATGGCTTGCAGGGAAATCTCTCATGCTTGACAAACCTTTTTAAGGCAGAATAAAGCAGGGTTAAGTTAAAGGACAGTAGAGAACCTGTCGATGTCGTTTTGCGACTTCAGCGAAGCCTTCGGCGAAGTACCTCATAAAAGACCACCCATGAAATTGGAGAGTTCTGAAACCAAGAGAGGCTTACCAAGTTGTATTAGGTAGTTCGTTACGCGTGGAAGACACAGAGTCAGGATCAACCTAAAACTCTCCCACTGAACATCGCTACGTAGTGGAGTGCCACAAGACACCGTAATCATCCTCTCTTACTTATCTCGCTTAACGACGATTCCTACGTCGTTATCTTCACAGATGAATTAAAAATATGAGGACAGCTAAATGGCGATAGTGGCATACTCGCGTTTCAAGGAAACATCAACAGATTAGTAGGTCTGCCCAAAGAATGGATGTTCCTAAACACTATTGTGAAGCACGAAACAATGCGCAGTGGACATGCAAGCGTCAGCTCATGCGAGCTGAAGAGACTTAGACTCCTGTCAGTTCAGACGCGTATGGATCTAGGTGTCATGATAGGCCACGACTTAAAAACTACATCATGCTGTCACATGGTGGAAGCTCGAAGCTAAGGACCTTTATGGAGAAACACAGAGTTCACTAGAATCACTTCTTAATTTGCATCTCCGATGATTCAAGACTGGAAAGCTGTATTAGGACAGCTAAACGCGTTTCTTCAAATAGACTCGCTCATTCTAGAAGGCATTCAGAGGAAGGCAACCCGTATGATTCTTGCAATTACAAACTTATCATACTATCATAGCTGAACAGTTTGAATCTCTTCTCCTCGTTTTGCTGTGGGTAGAGAGGAAATTTAAAAATTTTAAGAAAGTTTAAAAAATGACTGAGGGTCTGGTCCATTTTCTCGTTGCTTCCCACCAATTCAAGACACCTCAAAAGACATAGCAAAACAGTTCAAACACCAAGAAAGAAATACATCACTGTGGAATACTGGTTTTCACACCGTCATAAACTCCCAGAAGAAGTGGTCTCAGTTCATTCACTCTCTCAAAAAGGGCATAGGCAAGCATCGAACCTTGTCACAGAGGGACTAAGATGGGATTTAAGCCCTCTATCACCAGTCAATAGCTCCAAATCTGAATATCTAAAGTCATTTATGTCTCTGTATACTGTTGTTGTTTCACTAAGTGGTGAAATACATCAATGTGGGAGGAGTGACACCGAAAGTTTAAAGTAGATTTCTACCCTGTGATAAACAGTCAATACTTATATATGAGATACTGACTTATAATCATAGAGGTGTCAGCACATGTATTTTGTTTCCTGTTTTACTTTAACAACTTTGGGATGTGACAAATTCACATGCTGAAGTGATAAAGAAGCAGCTTTGCGTAGTTGCATGTGTGAAGAAAAATTTTAAGAGTAGAAAACAGCTGTTTTATTGTTGAATCAGAATGTCGTCGTTTTACTTAACATACTTGTTATGGGCGCGGCATATGAAAGCTGGTTGAATCTTGACACTTCGGTAAAATCCAGGTTAGACTTCTGCTTTAGACTCTTTAATTTGTGATATTGTATTGATATTATCAAATGTAAATGCAGAGTAGCAATACATGAGCATATCAGCGTGTCTACTTTGGACTCTGTCAAAGTACTTAATACAATTACTTTGATTTCCGATGAGAAATTCGTATGGTTGTAGCAAATCCACAAGTTGTATAGCTGTTAGGGACAATTGCTAAGGATAGATACCACAGTTTAATGACATTCAACTAAAAAATCAGGCCTCTGACATTGAAAATGTTCATAATCGCCGTCGCAAGTTTCACCCTGGTTTAGAACTAAAGATAAGGTAGTGATATGATTTTGGTGAAAATTGCAAAGAAGATTATGAACAGCGTCTACCTGGAGTGCTGATCAATGTGACCACCATTAGGCTATATTTATTTATCAGAACTAGTGGCCCCTGTGACATTTTTATATAGAATTTTGGGCATGTCTAGGGAAACGGATTTAAAGAGTTTGCCTACAACCACTCCTATGAGAAATTGGGATATGTTTCTGCAGCATATTGCAGACATACAGTGTTTAGTACACACGTGTATCCTGCAAATGTACCCATTTATGTTTTAAATACCACTTTTTACCCAGAAGAATGTGATTGTTTGGTTCGAAATCATTTGACTGTTGTGTCTATTCCTCACTGTTGCGTGCTCATTGTCACAACTATAGGGGACGTACGGCGCCCGAATGAGTCGGCCAACTGGTCATGTCGTTCACAGCTCAAAATGTATTTATGGATACAAACTAGCTTATTCTGTCTTAAAACAGCACCAACAAGGAACTGGGATATGTGCACTGTCATATGCTACGCAAATGTGTAAAATTCTTCAAACATATAATTTGAACTTTCTTGATCATGCAAACCGACAGTGAATAATACTGTTTGTTGGTTTCTTTGAAGTAATAGATGAAAACAACAGAATCTACACTATGAAAGTCAAATTTTTGGGGGTCCGGTTGATAATTCTCTGTCGTACTACACAGTTTTCTCTGAAACCACAATCATAGGGGTATCAGTCTGCTACCAGTTACGTTTAAATTATTGGCTGCTGTCTTGCTCCTCAGGCTAGGCAAACACATGAAGGATTGATTCGCGAAGAGGGGTTGGGTTTCGTTCAGGTCGTGGATGCATTGATCATGTGTTCACCCCTCGTCGGTTGCTGGAACACCGCCACACGTATTGCAGGCCAACAATCGTTGTCTCTTGATATTAGGGCTGCCTTCAATTCGTTGGACAGAACTGTGGTCCAGAACTGTCTGTTAGAGAGGGGTGTACCTGAGAAGTTTGTTAATATTTCGTAAGCCCTATACAGAAACACCTCAAGTAGAGTGAGGGAATACAACCAACTATCGTCACTGTTTGCACTTCGGTGCCAAGTTCTATGTTGAATCTAGACAGACTGTTCCCAACCAACAGTGGGGTTAGACAGGGTAGCCCGATCTCTCCATTTCTCTTTAACTTTACCATCGATGACATTTTGGAGTCAGCTCTGAAGGATGTGCGTGAAGGTGATGTAGATCTCCCTGTTGATAGACTTTTCGACCGCGTATATGCAGACGATGTCGTCTCACTGTGCGATAGCATGCAGGCTGTCCAAATCGCACTTAATCATTCGGCGATCAGTGTCTGTGAGTATGGTATGTGCTTTGCAAAGTACTGTTACAAGATTGGCAGGAGCCTGTGCCTGCACTCACTCTTGCGGGTGAACAGCTTGAAGTTGTTGGTAAGTTTGTGTATCTGGGTAGTTGTGTGAGTGCTGACGGATATTTCCAACCGTATGAAGACTAGGGTGGCATACATCAACTTGAGCCACCTCTGGCACCGTCGCGACGTTAGCCTGGCTGTCAAATGTCGGGTATACAATGCTTCGGTGCGGGCTGTCTTGCTCTACGCCTGTGAAACCTTGCCTCTCCGAGCTGATGATGTGAAGCAACTGCGTGTTCGATCATCGCTGTCTCCGCGGGATTGCTTGCGTCCGATGGCATCATCGTGTGAGTAATTCTGAGGTTCGGCGGCGTGTGTTTGAACACAGTGGAGGTCACCACTTGTTGAGTGTCGCCATCTGGAAACACCGGCTTCGGTGGCTTGGACATGTGCTGCAAATGTCATCCCAGAGGCTTCCGTACAGGTCTCTGTTCGCTAGCCCTGGGACGGGATCGGAAAGGCGGAGACGTGGTCAGCCCATGACGTGGCGTTGTGGGATGAAGGATATTTGTGCTAGGTTAGCATCGGTTGGTGTGTCACGTCTCCCTGGTTGGAGTCCGAGAGATATCTTGAATCGATGGCTCGAAACGTTATCGAATATAGCCAAGAATCGTAATCAATGGCGAACGTGCTGTAATTTCCTTCTTTCTTCCATTCCTGATGATAGTTGACGAATACTTTTTGAACTTGTTAATTGTGACTTTTCCCTCCCGATGAATTTCTTTATCCTTTCTCTACTTATATTTTTATATGTTTTATTATTGTGTGGCGCATCTTTCTTGGTGCCATATTGTACCAAGTTTATCTGCGTTTAAATATGGAATATAAATATAAAACTGAAACCACTTTTGTGGTACTATAACTTAAGTCATGTGTTGCAATGAGCACAGATGGCTTAATTTTTGGCTGCGTTTAAGGATATTGTTTTTTAAACAATATTGGGATTCCTTATTGTTTTCGATACATGATCTAGGCAGCATCGTTCCTTTCAGGTTACCTAGTTGTGGTAATCAGCGTTCCCATAGGTGTAAATTCGACAGCCAGGTCGTTTTATGGTGATTTCAGTAGTATTTGGTCGAGTTCCAGCTGACAGTTACTTGTGCTGTTCTGTAATAGTTTGAACGGTTTATGACACTAATACCTTTCTACAGCTTTCGGGTATATACGTGGCAGTTACAACTTTTAAAGAATAAACTCTACTTCGTGTAGTCTCTGTAGTTGACCAGTCGGTTAGTTAACATTAGGACAAGTCTTACCATTGAGGTTTGCTAAGCCAGTCATAAGTTGGACGAATAAACTACGCCAGGATGATATTTTTGAGACAAAATTAAGGATGGTATGAAATCAATCTAAGGACTAGGTATTTGATGAGCATTATTGTAACTTTTAAATATATGTTCAACAGTGAGCAAGTGATTTGCTTAAAGTTGTTAAGCTGCATTATCTGAAATGATTGGACTGTGCTAAACATACGATGAACGTTTATCCCACTAGTTGAATTGCGTGTTTGAAAACTCATAAGTGGAGCTAAATGTTTTAGATGCCATGTGATTATTCTGTTGCACTAATCGCACTACCTCCATTTTCTTTGTTGCTTTCTAAATCTTTTGTTCTTATGTCTGTATTCAGAAATATGACTACAGATTTAACCGATGAAAGCTTATTCCCAATCGCTATACTTATTGATGAATTGAGGAATGAAGAAATGCAAACTCGCCTAGCCAGTATAAAAAAGCTTGCCACAATTTCTCTTGCACTTGGTCCAGAGAGAACTAGGACTGAATTGATTCCATTTCTAACTGAGACTATATATGATGAAGACGAAGTACTTCGAGAGATGGCCAAACAGTTGGCTGATTTTGTTCCTCTGGTTGGAGGACCGGAATACGTCCATTGTCTTCTACCACCTCTTGAAGGACTTGCATCCGCAGAAGAAACCCTTGTCCGTGACAAAGCTGTTGAAACTTTACGAGCACTTGCTCCCAGTTTTTCGTCCAAGGTTAGTTTTAGTTTGCCGTAAAATTTGGAAAGCGTTATTTCTACTCGTCATTGGTTATATAGTTTTCAGGTTTCGCTTTTGTCACAAGTGTTTCTCAGACTCGCATAATTTTAAGCCTTTATGATGGTCTGGGAGGTGTTTTTTATAATGCCTTTTTTATTTGCTTTTCTTCATTGGTTGATCTTTCTGCAATGTGAATCTTTGACCTAGAGAAATATGTATCAGATTTTACCCGCTGTCTAACTCGCAGTATTACTATTCAATTGAGCGTTTGAGACAAGAGTGTCCATCGATTGAACCCGTTTGCTTGATATTGATAGGTGGGGAAGGTGTAGTCAGATATGTATTCTCAGGACTGCAGATACGTCTTATTGAGGACAAGCTCATTGTTTAGATTGACCTTTTTGTCAGCTAGTGTTTAGCATCCCGATACTGATTCGCAGCCATTTTGCAGTGAACCGACCACATTCCACTTCCAAAGGATGGGTTTTCATTAACATTTGTTATCAGATATCCGAAGTTAGCATTCGACGAGTATGCCACCATTATGCTACTAGTTCAAGCTGTTAGTTTCTAAGATTCTTAAGACATGCGGTTTTGACTATTAGTGAGTGACTGGAGACCGTATGTGACGGCAAATTCAGTATTCTTATGCCCACTTTTGCATTAATTTAGTGGTGATTTTCTTTGTTAATGCTATACAAAATTCCCTGTAGTTATATGTAATATGGATGAAAATAAGTGTTTGATTTCACCTCTTATTAAGCATATTTGCATAAAATATTACGTTGCACTGGTTAAGTTGTATCATCTCCATTTGTTACTTCTAGGACTTGGAATTTCATTTTCTACCACTTATCAAACGTTTAGCAACTGGTGACTGGTTTACAAGCCGCACATCAGCTTGTGGATTATTCAGCGTAGTTTATGAACAGTGTACTACGGCTGTCCGTGCAGATTTACGTCGTGCTTTCAAACAACTTTGTGCGGACGATACTCCTATGGTCAGACGTGCTGCGGCTAATCGACTTGGAGAACTTGCTCGTTGTATGGAGATAGATGCATTGCGCTCTGATTTATTACCTCTTTTACCTACTCTTTGCCAGGTGAGGTGTAGCTTTTGAATTTTCCTTTAACCACTGGAAACATGTATGCATTATTACCCGCCTACCTATATTTCTTCCATTACAGCAAGATGATCAGGACTCTGTGAGATTACTAGGTGTGAATGCAGCAGTAGATTTTGCTGAAGTTCTTCCTACTGAAGATGTTTTGGCTTATATCATACCCCTTATACGTTCAGCGGCGGAAGATAAATCCTGGAGAGTCCGCTATCAGTTAGCTGATCATATCACAGATTTACAAACCGCAGTAAAGCCTCAGCTTGCTGGACAACATTTGGTCGATGTTTACCAGGTTAGTGTTGCACCTTACGCGTCTTTGTTATCATTCGTTACTATTGATTCCTAACTTGGTAGATTCAACTGAATTCTGTAACTTTTTGGGGTATGTTCCAAAAAATTGTCGTTTAGTGTGTAAGGAATTGTTTTTATGCGTATCGCGACACTCACCAAAATGTCTGCATGTATATTTAGAGCCATCTGCATGTTACAACCTTTTCATTCAGTTATATACGGTTGTAAAATGTAATTGATGAAACTCATAAATTTCTAAATAACTGCTAACTTCAAATCTTTCATACTAGGTTAGAATCACCGTGTACTGTATTAATTGTAAAGTTGTTACTCAACCACTTGCATTTTAAAGCACTTAGCAACTAGCCGGGTGTGAGACTGTTGAAACCCTACATTCAGCGAGTTTTGATGCTGTGGTCTTATGGTTGGATGTAGGGTGCCCAAACAAATGATAAAACTAAAAACCTTCATCAAATAGATCTATATTGTGCTTGCGTTTTACCTACAATTGAATGTAGGTCTCGTCTTGGAAGTAAAAGGAAATGTTCGAACAGCTTTCTCATTTTCCAAATTGCCTTTACTTTACTAAAGTGCAAACTTAGTTTAAGTAGAAAAGAACTATCTGTGGGTCTTGATATAAGGCCTAAATGTGCTAAGACATATGTATGATTATCACATGCATAGGAAGCTTGACAACATTGCTAATAATGCTCTTGCATAGTTGTCAGAAAGTTTGTTATATATCGACTATCAGTGCGATTAAGCTAACACTTTATTCAAGGGAAGCCATGGAGTTCAAAACACCAAGTTTGTGTATGAGCCATTAAATCGTTAATATTTTGAAATAATGTCCGTTAAAGTTTTCAAAAGAATGGTTACTGAACAAAGAATACTCTTTTCGATAACGTCATCATCAGGCTCTACAGTAAATAAATGAATTAGTGTTATGAACAACATTAATGTTTAGATAACTGCGAATCAATAATATTAATAGATTATAGTTCAGTAGCATCAACATAACAATAAACTGAATGTCAGAAAAATCAGGAAAGATAATAAAACAAATTTATGAATTTCTAGTCTCTAATGTAGGCTAGGGCAGTAGTAGTGGCTGGACTTGCTTCTTTTACACACAAAGCACGGGTTGTTTCACGCAAATTGCGATAGCATCTGCTGTTTGAAGCATGCGGTACTCCGATGTTTTTGGCAATTTACTTGGCACCCGGTAGATGATAGAGGAGGATTCTTCAGTGCTGGCTTTGTGGCCGGTTTGGACCAGATGGTCTAATATCGAACTGTTGATGGTTTTTACTACGCTTTTACTAAGTTAGCCATACTGGGAGATGTTCTCGGGCACGAGAGGTACATTTGTGAACAAGTGTATAACTGGTCGATAAATATTGGCATCCCAACGGAAATCCTAAAAGAATTGTTATTAAAGTGTACCATGAATGTAAATTTCAAATTTGACGGCACACTTTACAGACAATTGGACGGGGTGGCAATGGGCTCCCCATTGGGTCCCATTTTGGCAGATTTATTTCTAAGTAAACTGGAAAATGGACCTTTGAACAACTTTATCAGAAAGTTCTCATTTTATTGCCGGTATATGCATGACAACTTCATTCTTTGTGATAATGATTTGGATATGAGTACAATAATAACTGAATTCAATGAAGTACATTCTGCTATGAAATTCACGTGTGAAGAGGAATCCCCTGTGTACTAGTGTGTATCACAATAACTGTGTCAAAGGATTTCCGATGGGAAAAACACTCAATACAACAATCCTTATTTAGTAATTGAGTGCTTCATGAAGGATACTTCATTTTCCTTATAGCGCCACATCAATTTGAATTTAAGTCCTATGGCATAATGAGTTAGCAGTAATACATCAGGTAGCATGAATACTTAATCATAAATTTTATTAAGGAAAAAAATAAGTAGCATCAGTATAAGAAATAGAATGATTGTATATAACTCATTTCATTATGGAGGCAGAGTATAGTGAAATAAAGTGCGATAACACTAAGAATGGAAATAAAATGTGCAACAGTACTAACATTTAATACTATTTATTTATGTGGAAGAAATATGTTGTGTTAGCCTCTTCTAAAGCAGTTTTCTAAATATTATAGCAGGTAGGTTATGGGATTCGTGACATACTACTCGGATATTTTCGCTGAAATTATTTCAACCGTTGAAAACGACGACTACACAACCCATACATTACATAAATCACACGCTAAAACAGGATTATTTACTGAAGGACTTGTCGGATGCCACTTGTTGTTAGTAATCATATCAAAGATGACTTCACAACTTCGAGACTCATTTTCGGGAGTTCTAATTCCTCTTTCCTGGTTGGCGTACACGTACTAAACTTCGTATCTCATGTGTTCTCACTCATGCACTAAGTAATACTGTTTTACTGTTTGGTTTGTGTACTGAAAAATCCCGATATGGGACTACATACTACAACAGTGCACAGGCTTTGCGTATTTATTGGGAGAAGGTTTGCTTTGTTTTCAGTTTTTCGGAACTTGTTGTTTTCGCACTTAGATGCTCCTCAAAGATCCCGAGGGTGAAGTTCGAGCGGCAGCTGCGGGCAAACTCAAAAAATTTGCATCAGCTCTAGCACCAGATATTCGAGAGTCTGTAATTATGAAGACATTATTACCTATTATCCGTGACATGGTTGGCGAAAATAATCTTCAAGTTAAAACTGCATTGGCAGGAGTTATGATGGCTTTAGCCCCCTTATTGGGGAAAGAAAATACCGTAGAACATCTCCTTCCATTACTTTTGGTTCAACTGAAAGACGAAAATCCAGATGTAAGTTCTAATTGTCATTACATTTTTCCTGTTAGAATAATCAGTCGCTTTACTTAATATGCACATTACTATATTATCTTTATCAGTCAGTTGGCGTCTTCTTATTATTGCTATTATTATGTGAATACAAAGTTGGTAGAATATGGCCACCTAAACGTTCACCACACAAAAATAATAAAACAAGAGTATACATTAAATTAGAATAGAATAAATGAGAAACGGCATCAAGAAAAAAAGATTAGCATATTTATCACGACCATTCAAAAGATGGTTTCCTGTATCATTTTATTTTCAGAAAGAGAAGAAAGGAGGGAATCTCAGTCTCTTCTCCATTGATTACGATTCTCAGTCGTGTATCTCGTGACTTGTCGAGCCACTGATTGGTATTATCTTTCGGATTTCATCTAGAGAGTCATGATGCACTGACAGGTGCTAACCTAACACATTTGTCTTCCATCCCATTCACATAGCCACTGTGCTAATTTGTGGTATGGTGAATTTATTAGGGAGAGTATAGGTCTCAAGGGTGCTCCTGATTTGTGTGTATTTTAACACACCCGTATAATTTTGGGATCTTTGACCCAATCAGTTTGATATTCCTATATGTATTCTCATCAATGTATTTCTTTATCAAGAGTTGCCGTAAATGCTGCACAATTTTTCTTTCGGTCGACAATGTTTGATCTTTTGCATAATTATCCACTTTGAATTTAGATTCATCAGAGAGAATTCGATGCACTTTTTCGATATAGTATATCATTAATCACTATCACACTCTCCTTTATCAGATTGTAAAATAACAACATTGTTGTCTTTTTGGAGCTTGTGTAAAGATCACCAGTATTCTTTGGTAATATGCGACTTTTGATTGGTCTGTGTGATTCGAAGTCGATGGGCAATGTCAACCATCTTTGATTCTAACTAAGCTTTCTCTGTCACATGACGTAGCTTAAAGCCCCATAAATTAGTCACAAAGACTTTCAAACTGGCATTCGATGTTAATTTGCTTTACTTTTTCCCTGAGGACACAGAGCTTGAAAGCCATTGACAATTTCCGCTTGTTTTTTGACAGGAAAACATTAGATAAATTATGATCATAATCAGATATATACAGTAGAAAGATTTCATTTGGTGCTTCCAGATAAAGTGACTTCTTCAATTTCTTTTCTTTCGTCTTTTTCGAAGAAGCATGCAGATATTTTATGAATTTAGATAACATACGAAGGTCAGGTCATTCTGTACACTGAGCAGTTTGCTTGATAATACACATAAATTGCTGATTTCATCTGTTTCAAAGCACAAGTGTGATTCACCAAGACAGTAAAGATTTGGCCCTGTAGGTCTTAAATGATCTTCACGCAAGTATTTTTAAAATTTCTGAGGATACATATTAGTTTGAAAACATTCTTTCAAAAAATCTCTTAGAACAGAGTGTTTAGCAGTCTTACGCCTCAATTTTACTAGATCATTTGCTGCTAATAGTACTTTCCAAGAGACGATTCTTTAAAAATCGGAAATATTTATTTACCGGTACGAATTTAAGACAAGCAACAAATATTAAAAACTTGGAGATTCTTCCAAGAGTTCTACCGAAATCTGATGAATTTATTAAATCCTGCTTCATTACATACATATAGGAATATCAAACTGATTGGGTCACAGATCCCGAAATTATACGGGCGTGCTAAAATACAAATCAGGAGAACTCTTGAGACCCATACCACAAATTAGCACAGTGGCTATGTAAATTATTGCAGCCCTTGAGAAAACGTTTTGGAACGTACATAGTTTCTGATTCATTTCACTTTGTCAAGCAAATTAATGGTGTCAGTGTATCTGATAATCATCTGGTCCTCTTTCGATGTTACCTCCCTGTTCACAAATGTGCCATTCGTTGAGACTATTGACTTAATATACAGAGAAGCTGAAGACTTACCCATTCCAACATCGGAATTGAGGGAATTGTTACTTTTATGTAGGCGTCTATCCCGTCAAGTTAGTGGTGTCGCAGTGGAAAGCCCCTTGGAACCACTTTTTGCAGATTCATTCTTGTCAGCAACATATGCAACAAACGGACGCATGTCTAAGATATGTTGATGATATTTTTGTATTGTCTGTGAACGCAGATCAGAAGCTGAATAGTAAAAATACGATGCCTGAAAAATGAAATCATTCCTAAATACCTGCGTCTATGAGTTCCAGCTGCTACAAACAAAGTTAGAAGCAGAATAAATAGCCTAAATGGAGAGATCCACAGAGTTGTTAAGAAGTTGCGCCATATCAGATATGAAATTGAGCAGCTAAGTCAAAATCTAATGGGAAAAGTTACCAATGTGGATTACGATCTTATAACAATCCTCTAGCAATGCCAAATCAGCAACTTTCAAAAAGTTCAATAAATTATTAGAGGAGAAATCTTCATCTCAGAACGATGAAATCAGCAATCTAAAGTCAACGGCGATCGATAAAGCAAAGTGGGTTATCAATCTCTCAGCACATGTGTTAAGTCCCACAGAAATAAGTCTATTAGAAAAGGGACTAAATTTCAACCTAGCGGTAGACAAGCTGAAACATGAGGATGTCATCCTTAAAATAGAAATAGCACTAAGTGGGATAGAAAAAACAGTGGCTGGTGAAGTAGGGGCACAATGTGCACTAACATGGAAAATGACAAAAACGGAGAATGCCCAACCTAACAAAACCAGAGATGGAAGCCCTAAAACACCTTAAGAATAAAAAGGACATAGTAATCACTAAGTCACACAAAGAAAATTCAACGGTAATATTAGACAAATCAGAATATTGGGACAAGGTGAATACTCACATACATACCGGACCATATGAGGAAATTAAATCAATAGACACCGTTATGAATAAGGTTGAGAAATCCACAGCGGACCTTATACGTGGAATGAAGCCGTTTCTAGGTGAGTCTAAATGGTTGTATTTAATGCCCAAAACTAATAACCCCAGTAGGATGTATGGTGTTGTTAAAGTTCATAAGTCAGGATACCCTATTAGACCTATAGTTGGTTTCAGAAATTCACCTACTTATGAATTATCTAAATATTTAGCCATGGTATTAAATCCCCTTAAAAGCCACTCAAAATCTAGGCAAACAAATTCTTATGAACAAAAACATAGATTAGATAATTTAAAATTAGGTAATGAAGAAAAAATGGTTAGTTTTGACATTGTCAGTTTATATACACGTATACCAAAAACGAACTCATTTCTGACCAAGAACTCGAACTTAGGACGAAAGTGCCACTTGAGGACATAATGCTGGGAGTGCAGCAATGTCTGCCTTCCACAGTATTTAAATTCCAGGGCAAAATATACAAACAAACTGAACGGAGTTGCCATTGGGTCACCAATATTCCCGGTTGTGGCAGATATATTCATGGAAAAATGGGAAAACATAGCAATTGAAACGTTCAGCCCACCCGAAAAGTTCGGTGGAGGTATGTGGATGACGCATTCACTTTACTAGGACACAGGATATTAATAGATTTTTTGACCACATTAACTGGAAGGTGGAGGCAATTCAATCCACTTATGAATTGGAAAGTCAGGAAGGAGAGCTTCTAATGTTAGATTGTAACGTAATAAGGAAAGAAGATGGAGAGTTAAACTCTGGCGCTTACAGGAAACCCACACATTAAAACCGATATATGGATTTCCTGTCAGTAAAAATAGGATTGGTGGAGTGTTTAAGTAATAGGGCAAAATTCTTAACAGGGCAGGAATAAAAGTGGCATTCAAAGCCACAAACTCAATAAGAAACAAGCTTTGTCGGTTGAAGGATCCTGTGGAGCCTTTAAAACAAAACAATTTAGTTTATCTAATACTCTACTGTAATGATTCTCAGGTCAAGTACATAGGTCAGAGTAGTAGAACAGGGGTGGTCAGACTAGCCGAGCATAAAAACAGCAAAATCTAGATTAGTTGACCCGAATAAGATAAGAAATCTAGAGAATAGTTCAGCTATCGCACTCACTACATGCAATTACACACAACTGTACAATAGGCTGGATGGGATAAGATGACAGTTTTAAAATCTAAGGTCACAGGGTGGAGGGAGAGATTGATAACAGAAGCTTTGTTTATCGAATCAACTGCAAACAAGTGTGATAAGAATGATTCAACACCTGTCCCAGATATCCGGAAAATTCTACTACCCCAATGACGATAAATAGGAGAGGACAAAGAAAACTATAAAACTCAATTAATATCAGTAAAAAGTTTGAGCATTGTGGATTAGATCAAATAAAGTATAATTATATTTCAATAGTTTACACACAATGATAATTTTTGTTATTGGTAATTTTGCTCGAAATATTACCAATAACAAAACTTATCATTGTGTATAAACTACTGAAATATAATTATAAAACTCAAGTTTCGAAGTCGCGTGATTATAATCGATATGATTATGAATAATAAATTGTGCCCGAAATGTCATCCAGTAAATGATAGCGTTCCAATTTGTGATATATCTAATAAACAATCTAATACGGGATTACTAACTAGCACTGTGCCCAAATTTTACACATTTATTAATACAACTCCCTTTGATATGTTGGGCGGTGTTCTTTGGTAATATCTGTTAGATGGTGTGGTATTTTCTGAGACTTGTTAACATCCTGAAATCCCCAAACGGAAACAACTTGGAAAGAATACGGGTATACAGCCAGCTACCACGTCTGTCCTCAGCCAACAGTGGGGTAAGACAGGGTTGCCTAATCTCATACTTTTTTTAGTACTGCCATCGATGACATTCTGTACACAGGTCTTAAAGATGTGAGTAGTGGTGGAGAGATCCACTACTTGGAGAAAGACTTTCTAACCTGGAGTACCTAGACAATATTTGTCGTACAATGCGATGACTTACCAGGATTTAACACGTAAACGTCTCACTTACACTGTAAACAAAACTGTGGATCAGCTTTGAAGACACTTCATAATGTTCACGGAGGTCGGCATCATTTAATATTTTTGATTCAAATGGTAGCAGAATAAAACCATTATAATGATTTTATCAATCGGGTAGGCCAGTTTTTTATATATTCCCACTTGTGGTCTGACTTCGCTCCCCACGAGACACTGAATTTCATATATATCGCTAAACGATACAGACAGTTTGCTTACTAGATTTACACCATTAGGTGGGCCTCCATGTCTACCAGTATGGTGGTGAGTGCAGTGGATTCACCCCTTCACTTTTTTGAGAATACTGCTCGGCGTAGGAAGTAAGGCACAGAATATGAACGCGTGGCCATGTGAAAACAATTCGGTAGGAAGGTAGAGGTCTGCTCACCGTCACCCTTTCCATGTCGTTTAAGAAGGACCAGTGTCATACGATGAGCACAGTTGATGTTAATAACAATATACTGTATATAGTCATATGACAATTCTGTTACTCTTTTTTTCATTTAAGCTGCGCTCATTTTTCCTCGTGATCCTATTGTTTTATGTGAAATTTACTGTGAAAGTTCACTCAGTGTGTATACGCAAGTGATTCGGATAAACAGAAGTTTTCATATTTCTCTAACGCCTATTTGCAAAGGTACATTGAATTTTGAATGTTTCATAGGTCCGTTTGAATATTATATCTAACTTGGAATGTGTGAACCAAATAATGGGAATAACACAACTCAGTCAAAGTTTACTTCCTGCAATTGTTGAACTAGCCAGTGATACTAAATGGCGTGTTCGTTTGGCAATAATTGAGTATATGCCACTACTAGCCAGTCAGCTTGGTTTACAATGTTTCAATGAACGCCTTACGAATTTGTGTCTTGGTTGGTTGGTGGATGATGTATATGCCGTGCGTGAAGCAGCTGTAACAAATTTACGAAAACTTATGGATCAGTTTGGAGTTGATTGGGCCAGTTCTCAGATCATACCTCGTGTAAGTCAACCATTTTCTTAGGCATTAATAGATTTTCATTTCTCTAAAATCAATTGCTTCCCCACTTTATATTAGGTGTTTTTACTCCTGAGATATTATTGTTTCCTTTGTCCTCATGTCAAGTGTCAACCACTGTGCAAACCACTATTTGGCACGTTAACATCAGCCTTAGTGTAACTCAGTACATCAACAAAGCACTGTATGTCTAAAGGCTTTTCCCCTTAATTCTCCGTTAGTAGCTTTCCTATCGGTTTGTATTGGGAATAACCTTAAAGTTATAGATTGCACTAACGCTCTTTACATCTTCAAGTGTTTGTATTTATTACTTCAGTCTCTAACAACTGAATCTAGTCAGCAGTTCATCTGTTCGCAGTCTAAATAATAATCACTTTTTCCACATATCCTATCAGTATAGGCCCTGATAAATGTAGGCTGTCAGTTCTACTGTAAAGTATCGTGTAATGGGTAGTGTTTCCATTTTCCGTATACTCACGCTTTACACTGCCTTTTCACAAAACCCTATATACCTGTAATATGAATGAATCCCAAACACCGTTCGAAAGGTTAACCAGTTGGCAATATTGTTTTACTCTGGTGTACTTTTAGCGTACGAATTGTCATCATATTCTTACAATCATATTCATGACTTTAATTTGTGGTAGACATTTCTCAAGGTGACAATAGGTAGACACAACATTTCAGCTTCAATGTCAGGTTAGTAGACCTTTCTTATTCAATTGAATGATCGAGAACTTAAAATTAAGATGAATCTGCTAAGACTTTTATGGGGCTAGTTGCATATAAACCTGTACTTCTAACTATGAATCGTGGAGATGCGAATTTCTACCAATAGTTCACTCTTTAGTTCATTTAGCAGTGTCACGTCCCTGATATAAGTTTTTTGACATTCTACTACGGTAACCCATATTAATGGCCTAACACAAATTTTTACACATATATTTTACATATGTTTCATATTGGACTTATTTCTACATATTTTTCTCTCATCAACTATATAAAGTTTAGGTATATTTATTTCAGTGTGAACTTGAGCTAGATACATCCTTTTTCAAAGCAGTCACCTAGTGTAAAATCAGACTAAACTATTCTGAAGTTACTTGTGCTTTCTGAGACCGTTGTTATTATTCTTCAGGCCAGAAAACGTCAAGTTGACCTATAACTATAGATAGCCTTCTTGTTATGATCTGTTCATATCTTTGTTGTATTCAGAAGTCTGTTATGTATCAGCATAAATTATTTTTCTTGAAAGCTTCATGCACAAGAGGAAAGTTTTTGAAGTGACTAAACATTTGTCTGCAACATTTTTCAATTTCTCCACATAATCATGCTTCCACCCGTTTCAGAAGTGTATCGTCATCCATTGGATGTTTCTAGGAATTCTTGATGCGTATATTTCATTTGGCGTTCTCACATTGCCATGATAAGTGTGCCCTTACATTTCTAAGTCAAACAATATGAATGGGTTTGCAGGGTCAGCCACCATACTGTGTGATATCTTCCGCTCAGCAATAGCACTGCATACATTAACACACAATAGGGTGGGGCAGAGTCAAAATTCTATAAAGTAATAAAGGTAGCTAGAGCGAGAGATTGGTTACTGGATCCTGGTCCATCGAGTCTACACCCAATACATGCAATGGAAGTGACTCAACGCAAACACCAGAGATATGGAAGATATTATTACCAGTCAAATCAGAGAATAATAAATAATGTTAAAATGTATTCAGTTTACATTATAACATTTTAACAAGTTAATTATTTTTACTGTAAAAAAACATCTTATTTCCCATCTGATTGTATTTGATTGATAAAACTAATATTATTTCCGAATGTACTTTGTCTTATACTTTGATTTTATTCAAACGTCTGATCAATTTTTACTCATGTAAATAAATGAAGCAAGAAAGTTGTATGAGTACCTTGATACTATTGTGAGCAATAGTTTGTCTTCGAAACGCAATCAGTAAATATTACTGTACAACACTGGGTGATTTTATCAAAATAAGATTTTATCCGTAATGGAGTCTTCCACCGAACTTCAACACACTGATAAGATTTATTATGTTGATTTGTAATGATTCTTTTAAATCTTCAAATGGCATCAGTCTTCAAAGCGAGTTAACCCTATTTCAGAGATGCTATATTCTTGATAAGGTAAATAAAGTAACTCAGTTTCCAGTCTTAACTGTCATAACATTTTCGCACCGTTATTTTTTAAAGTCTGTTTATTCAACTGATCTATCATTGATATATGTCCCACATAGCCGTTGTATGTGATTTTTCACTTGTTCGCAACCTACGGTAATGGTGATAGTATAAAAATTCACTACTCAAAGCACTCGAATTGTAGCTAGGGTGGAATCCACGTGATGCTGAACTCAACCGTTAGGACTGTGATAACTCTCAGTAAGCTCTTACATGGCTTTATGAGTCCGAGTAGAGTGCCTTGATTAGTTTGGTGTACTTCATCAGCACTCCCTTAACAGTCGAACATAGCCATAGTGCCTCTTAGTCGACGGAATCGAATTCTGCCTTCAGGTTAGGAGATGTGACGATTGTTTGACTCTGGTAGGTATTCCTATGTTCCAGAATCTAAGGGTGAAGATATCAATGCATCCCCTAACTGGTCTAAATCCTGCCTGGTTGTCTCGTGTTTGTTCCTCCCGAGCACCGCTTAGTCTACGCATGGTTATTCAGCCTAGGACTTTAGATACCACATTGATCAAGCTAGTCCCAGTATGGTTTCACAAGGAAACTTCTCACCCTTCTTGTACATGGGGATAATAAGTGAATTACACGAGTCCAATGGGACTATCTCTGATTCCCAAACGTTGCACTGTGCCTTAGTTAGCCCAGACAGGAATTTTTCACCACTGTCCGTAAACACCTCTGAAGTCACTCCATCAGGTCCCCCTGGTTTGCCACATTCCAGATAAGATACAGCTTTTGTAACCTCAGGGACGGTGTCTACATCACATTCAGGTAGGTGTAGGATACTGAACTAGGTAAGTGTGGTTGTAGGCCAATTAGATTACTCATGCTTAGCTGAATCACTGGCTATTCGGGGCTAGAAACCGGATCTTTGAGTTCATTCTTCTTACCGTGGCCAGAGTAACGCCCTTGTCATGATTTTGTTTCATTTTATTGTTTTCTTTTGCCGTATTTATTCTATTATTATTGCTATCATCACTTTTGTTTATTGATTCTCATACAGATATTATATGAACACTACTGTCTTCCCAATAGCTTTAGTCCATTTCGTGCATTTAGATTGATTGGTTATATTTCACACATACATACTGTGTAATTCCAGATTACGTCCCTTTTCCTTATCTCCACTTAGTCATCTAAATTACATGTCACATTATGTAATACATTTCCGAGGACATAATTGCCAGTATCTGACTAGTTTTTATGCATTTCTTGTTAAATAAATAATTCTTCAGCTCTTTAGGGTCATATCTTCTTTTGTCTATGATCCACTAAAGCAGTAAAAGTTCTTTTGGATTCAAGATTGTCAAGTTTACTGGAGTTAAGTTTTAGATTTTGGAGATCCCACAGTTTAATTGTAGATCAAATAACCTTCCAATTGCATTTAGTTCACATAATTAAGGTCATGTGTGTGTAACTCGAATTTCACTGTATGTAATTTTATTGTGATTTTTGTCTTATATGACTAGCTTTATAGCCTTGATACCCCTTGTTCTAGGTTCATAAACCGTTCAAACTACAATACTTGCTAGTAGAACATGTTTAGCATTCGGTCAACTCAGGGGGCAATTCGCTTTAGTAGACATAGTGCTATACTAATCAAATATTTCTATACTGTTTACGAACCGGTCACCGTACACCCAAAGTTCAGGATATAAGCATTCCATTCTTGAACTGTGAATCCACAGTCTGCTCATTCTCAATCTCTTCCTCTTATTCACATTGTACCTATTTATCATTTGTTGTTCAATTTGATCACCTAAAATTTGTTTATATTCATTGCGTTTTGTTTATATGCTGTGACTCACTGCGAATTGTAGCACCTCAGGATGATACACAATTTAGTGCGTCTGTATTCCCAAGTTTCTCCGTTTGTGATTGGTTCGACCTGCAAAGTCACGGCTTTTGGTTGAATGGTGTTCAGAAATGTGTTTTTAAACATGTATTATACTGTCTCCATTCTGTCGATTTTGGATAGTAGTTTAACAATAACTTATTCAGTCTGTTATCATCAGTTGATATCCATGCTTTTTGTCTAGTGACTTCTCTCAAAAAGTAAGTTTCACACGATTTGTTTTTATTAGTTTCACTACCGTGCTAAACCTATTTCACCATTGTCATGACATGTTTAATTTCTCTTTTTATTCGATTTGGTAGCTTATACAGTTGGCTCATGATCCAAACTATCTACGTCGAATGATTTGTTTAGCATCTCTTCATCAACTGGGTGAAGCTCAGTCGTGTCGACCTGAGTTATTGCAGAAACATTTACTTCCAACTATAATTCAACTTGGTCATGATCCTGTACCGAATGTTCGTTTCAGAGTAAGATTGGTTTCGTATAAAAGACTATATGAGTTTTGATTTATTATATGTACATGTGATATAAGAATAGAACTTGTGCACTGTGGTAGAGTATGATTCCATTGTGGGTAAAGTCTCAGAATGTTGCACTAATGACGTTTCGAGCACTATTTATTGCTCATAATCATATCAAGGTTTCGTCCCTTCCTTCTTCCTAGAACAGTTGTACACGTTTCCCTGAATATCGCTCTCAAAAAGTTCCAATGTACTTCCACACAGGTTTACTCACTGGTGTCACTCAATGTCTCCGACTTTGCTCTGATCTGATCTGTAGTGAAGGTATCCCTCGTAGTTTTGTCCTTCACTTTCTGAATGTTGAACTTGAATTACAGTGGCTTGACTCCAGTTGTTCTTTTGACGGATTTCAGCTTCACCTTGAAGGTTCCTTCAGCTAGATGGTGGTCTGATCCCACCCACATCTGCTCCCCCCTCCTTGACTTTGTGTCCAGCAGACTAGCTGCGTCTCCACATCCTTCAGCACTATTCACATGAAGTCTATTTGGTTTGTCGTGTGTCCGTCAGGTGAAATCCATGTCGCTTTGTGTATATCCTTGTGTTTGTACACACTCCCTCTGATTACTATATCATTGAAGGCGCAGAAGTCTGAGAAGAGTCCTACACTCTCATTTATTTCTCTGAGAGACTCTTCACCCATGATGAGTTCTCTTACTGGATTATCTGCTCCCCGTCAGCAGCCATTCATATCGCCCATGAGGATTGCCATGTCGCCATTTGGGATGTTGGTCATTACTGTTTGTAGTTGTCTACAGGAATATTCTCTCTTCTCTTGTTCCACGTTGTTTGCAGCACTGTGCGTAGCATTGGATGATTGTCACCTTCCTCCACTCCTTTCAATCAGTGGAATCTTGCTGTCATCATCCTGCAGGATGGAATTGGTTCCCACCGAAATGGGGCTTTGGCTGCCACTGGTGACATCATGATAGCCACTCAGTGCCTCAGTGTCTTCGTGGTTGTCGTCTGGGTGACCAGACTGGAGTGGATTATTGACTCTCAAGTCGAGAATTTTTTGACAGTCCACATCCGTCCTGTCTGCTCTCTCAGATTCTGAGCACTTCTATGCCACATCTCATTTCTTAAGGAATCTAGGAAGTCTTCCCAGCTTCGTATATTTTACGAATATTGCACGTCTCTATCCTTATTCTTGCTTTCTTTGAAAGTAGACACATCGGCTGGCAAGCTGGCTTCCCGAAAACTTTCACTAGGCCGGGACATTTCGCCTCTCTGATTCCAGAGAAGAATAAGATCGTTATTGGAATTTTTTGTATTTCAAATATACTTTTTTGTGTTTTGAAATTTCTCTAGAGGCTGGATAGGATTAATGGTGTAGGGTTGTTAGCCCTACGCTCAGCCCTCCATCTTTACAGGGGCTTAGACGGACTAGAGGAGTTTAATGGTCCTCTAGTTTAAATCAGTTTGTAATCTATTTCGATACTAGATTATAATATGCTATGTAGTTTATGGATGCGTTGCGTAATGATTACCTTCATAGTGTGAAAACGAGCATTGCACATCATCTTAACCTTATTAACGTTTTATGTCTGTAGATCTTTTTAGCTGCAGATCATTGTTAAAAGGTATCGGATAGATATTACAGCTTTTTGTTGACGTATTCTTATGTTTTAGTTGACGTATTCTAAGTAGAGACAGGATGAATCAGTTGCTTAATTACTGATCTTGTGGGTAAAAATTGAGGTCATTATTTAAATGTTGACATTTGTCTGAGTAGAATAGCCATACACATTATCTTACCTTTTTCTTTTTTGTCTTCTTGCTGTTAATCCTATTGCTCGTACACTTCCTTCGTCAAATCTAACATCGATTTAAACATGTAAAACATTTCCTAGAATTTTAGAGCAATGTTAAACAGCGTCACATTGGAGGCTTCAATATACTAAGATAGATGGGAGTCACTAAATGAATGGATAGCACCACATGTGTTCAATCCATGAGAGTCGTATATAGTACTTGAGTTATTAGTTATTTGCTTTCACTGCTATTTTTCATGTTTTCCAATAATGACAATAACGTCTAAATATGTTTTTGTTTATGTCAGGTTGGTCAGATTTTAGGCAAACTTGGCCATCTTCTAGATACATCCACCCTACAAACATATGTCAAACCAACACTTGAAAAATTGGGCTCCGATACAGATCCAGATGTTGTTTATTACGCCAAAGAATCCTTTGACTCGCTACATCTTGCCGGAAGATGAATATGCTAAAGGTAGAACGCATTTTATTTCTGCAGGAAAATAATACAATATACTTAAATACATGTAAATTGACCTTGTTTGGCGTCTTCCTTGTTTCAATTTTGCCAACTTTTCTGCACTGATGTGCTTGTTTGCGATCTTATTTTGAATGCGTGCCTTACAGTGGACTGTATTTGTTCGTATTATGTACTGAATTCTGTTTTCATTCCCTTTTTGCTGTTGTATACAAGAAGGAGCCTCATATTGTCGATTTACTTATTAACTCTCCTCTTCAGAAGAATAATTTTCCTTCCATAAAGCGAAAATAGGCTGCTTACCAGCATGAATTTATGCTGTTTCTTTCTTCATTTGTTCTTATTCAGTTAAATTATGGGATATAGTGTAGATCTCAGTCATTTGTTTAAGACACAGATTCTGTGCAAATGACAGTTTCATTTTTGATCGTTTAAGGATGAAATAGAATATTCCGTATTTATGGTATGCGTGTTGAATTAACCATCACTGGGATAACTAACCGATGGTTGCTGGGTTATAATGGAGATTATAAAATGTCATGTTTTTGGTATTAAGAAATTGAAAAGCCCAAGACTCTGAAGTTGTACGACTATTATTCCTCATTACCTGCTGGTTCATATTAAATGTACCTTTAGTATTTTCGTTGCTGTTGTCTTGATTGCACTTCATATACACGGATTAATCGTTATATTTTTTATCGTTTTAAACTGTTAGCTAATAAAGTGTTTGAATGTTGCTTTCTGTGATTGCTAATTAATCTCCACATAGCATAGTTAATGCATGTTAATATCTAACAACGTAAATGTATAACCGATAATGCTTATAATAAAAGTAGTAAAATAATCGGAACTAAGTGGAAACCCAGTTGTTTGTTAATAAACTTTAAAATAACTGGTGAGTTGATCGACTAGATTTGAAAGTTTGCAATTTTTCCTGGCGATTAGTTATATGTTAATTTGTTTCTGTGCTTGGTTGACTGTAACAACAATACCCTGTGTACTGTACTAATTAATCAATTTTGTAGGTGACTAGTAAACATACAGACAATACCGGAGTTCATTGATCACTTTGCCATTTAAATGGTCAATGTTATGAAATCTATTTTCAGTTAATGAAGTATTTTGCTGTTCCACCTGTTACTAATTAACATAATTCGCCTGTGCTTATATCATCGTTAAAGTGGACTTAACAACGATGGTGTTTCATCTATATATGCGAGATACCTTAAAAAACTGTGTGTGGACAAAGCCTATAAATAAGGATATTAGGCAACAAATGTTAAGCATCTTATACAACCGGTTCCCTTTATCAGTTTAAACAAAGAAGGAAGGAACATAATTGCAGGATGATACGAACTCGTTTTATTTCGTGGATTCTTTTATCAACCACATGCATCCTAAATAATATCAAAATACAAGTTACACAATTTTTGAACAAACTGTTTTCAGTGACTCTCGACTTACAGATAGAGAGTATCGGCAACACATAATTCCAAAAAATGATATAAGTAGACAAATTATTTAGTGTAAAATGGTTGAATATTTATAATTTATAAAAGACAATTCAGCGAAGAAAATCTTGTTTATCGACGAAATAATCTTGATGATAATGTCTCTCTTGTCTGCGCCTGTAATTAAAACGATGGTGACCAGGTAAGCAGAGAGACGACTTCCTTTAGATGTTTCCAGTTGTTTGCTGCTGTTTACTGGGTATATTCTCATCTTCCCTATGTTCACCTGAAGTTCTGCCTTCTCTGACTCTTTTGCCAACTTGTTGGTTTTCACTTGTAAATTTTCGAATTTGTGCCACATAAGTCGAAACATCCGTGAAATTTAGATCTTGAGTCCTTTTGCTGGCCCAACGTATTGCTCTTGTCACTCCACTGAACCTGTTACCAATACCATAGGTTTCATCAGTCAGTGTTATCTTACTCCGATCTTCACTTCAAACGCGTTGGTGAGCTTGAAGTTGTTAATTACTTGGTGTTCGGTGTCGTCATGATATAGCTGTTGAATGAGGTTTATGAGTGCTTTTGGGCAGTGCAGTTCGTAGTGTCGAGGATGGGAAATCACTTCACTGTGGACACTAACGAAAGTCTTTACAAAGTCGGTGAAATTGAAATGCAGAGCTCACTACCACGGTAGACTCACTTCGATGATGTGTATTGTTGTAATTCAGTCCGCGCATATCTTGTTTTTCCTGAATCCAACCTGCTTTGGGTCAAATTTTCCATCCTGAGCATCATATAGTCTTTCAACAATGCTGCGGCTGAGCATTCTGTTTAGAATGAACAGAAGCACGATACTGCGCTATCTCCTGCGCATACTTAAGTCGCCCTTCTTTGCTAGTTTGACAAAGAAGTCTTTCTCCTAATCTACCTTCCCTTTCTCTCACACCTTCAGTTCTGTAGTATGTCCTCTGACATTTGTGCTTTCTGGGGTGGATTCCATCTGGTCCTGCTCCTTTTCTCGTCTTTCAGTAACTGTGTTACCTTCGAGACTTCTGTTTTTTCAGGATGGCTTATTTCCATTGGTAGTTCTGTGTCTGCGGGTGGTGTCACTCGATGCGTTGCGGCTGGTGGCTGACTAAGGATTCCTTTGAAGTGATTAGCGTAGCATTTCTTCTGCTCTATCATTGGACAGTGTTCGTTCGACTGAATTTTTAGAACAATCAGTAGATGCTGTTATAAAATGATCCAGTATTTAATTTGATTTACCAGTTACAGTTAGAGTAGTTGCAGTGTCTATAGGTATTCACATAAATCTACCAAAGCGAAACGGTTGAAAAGACAAAGAAGGTAGTAGTTTAATACTTTTTTGCCGAGAGAATTAAGTCATTTCAGTATGGCAACTGGAAACTATCCTACTGCCTGGAAACACTTAAGCATGATGGAGAAGATTTGTAGCTCAGGGGGATGATTTTGGTGTGGTTGTGTTCTTTACATTGACCAAAGTGGACGTCCCCTTCGTATCCATGAACATACGCTAGCCGTCAAAAGACATCACATCCACCCCCTCATATCACTACATATAGACAACCACGGACATCAGTTCAACTGGGACAACGTTCATATATTAGACAGGAAACACCAAGAATGCTAGAGAATTTTTAGGAAGCCTGGTATTCCAGTGAATCATCAATCAATGGACACATCGAGATAGACAAAATTTACCAACCGATAAGAAGGAAATCTCACACACTAAGGGTTAAAGTTCAAGTCAAGGAAACTATCAGTTCCGATACAAGTAGTTTAGAGGGAGTGGAAAAATAACCAATCACGTTGAAGGTCACCAGGAGATATGACTAAGAAACTCGTGAAGAAATCTAAAAGCTCACTTCAAATTGAAATATGCTCTGAAGATGTTGCTTAGTAGGGCAATGAAAGCTTCGTAAATTAAACATCCAGCTAAGAGAATACAACCACATAAAAAAATACAGGAATTGCTTTTAATACATTGTACATATTCAAATAAAAAAGTTGACGCTATATACACATGTTAAGATGGAAACAGCCGTCATATAAATAGGTTGCTAGTGTACTTTTTATTTTGTCGTTTGAGATCTCATTAGGTATCGTTGTCCGTCAACATCTGCAAGTTACTGGCAAGATTTTAGTTGAAAGTGGACTGGTAACTGGTTTGTTTACTGTAATCCTAGTTTAGGAAGCTGAAATCCGTAGCAGAGCCTTATCAAATTTACTCAACCAGTGAGGAACAAAGAAACAAGTTATAGTGAGAATTTGAGTTATTTATCTAAATTGCAGTGATATTTTGTTATGCAGGTTTTTTGGCTAAATCTTAAACTCCTAGGCTATGGTCGAATTGCAATTCGCACTAATTTTTCATGTTCTAATCCCTGAGTTGATAGTAAACATGTTTATGTTGACATTAAGTTAGCTGTTGAATACTATCCAGCCTGTCTAATAAAAATAGGAAGAAAACATTTCCAACTTGTTCATGATTAAAAGTCGGCACTTAGCCACATCTCGAGAGTTCCTACAAATTTAGAAACAAGGCTTGATCAAGTCAAATAAATTGACTGATACTCTAACATTCACGCAGAACTGCATCCCTAGTGGTTTCTGTCTCTGTGACTTAAATTAAGAACTGATTGTCTATGATAAATGCTTTTAAGTCTCTAATTGTATCAATAAACATCTTTTCCAGTGCCCAATGTAATTTGACCATTAATCGGAATTAATTTTGAATTGTTCTAGCCTTCCTAATATGTGTTAACGATTATGCAGCCTGCTATGCGACTTTGTTGAGGAGAAGTAACTGTTCATCTGCCTTTCTGTTTAAAAGAGACATTGAAAAATTGTATGATTACGAAGTTGTTTCTGAAGATGGAATTGCGTAACACTGGGAAGCAATTCATCAACCAAACATTGTAGTCCCGTTTGGCGTTGGAAGTCTCAAATCGAGCTGCTAATAAAGACTAAAAATAAAGTCATACAGTAGCGATTAAATCATTTGAAGATTAGTGCTTCTATTGGGCATAACTACATGATTCTCATATCAATTTCTGTGCTCACGTGATGAATGACCATCATGGCAACTGTGCTAGAGAATTAAGTAAAGGCGTAAAAATACGCATTTGTAAGTCATGAGATAGTTGACAGATTGACGCGCCTTATATTGTGTTTAATCCATAGTACTTTCATTAAATGTCATTGCATGTTTTTGGAATATCCTTATATTCAAAGAGATTTCGTTCCAAAATGAAGTAAATGTAGGTCATTTGCTTTCTAAGGCACACTGGATGATTTATTCTGAATGTGCAATACTTCTGGCGCATCAATTATATATTTATTTTAAGAATCTAATGACTGAATTTCCTCGGGTCGTAGCAATAAGTGGGATTTTAGTTGTTGACAATGTTCAATGAAACTGGGGCAAACGTAAAGAATCATAACCACAGAGGGCGAATACACCAGTGACCTTGAACACTTACTATTAGTTAGATTTCAGAACCTGCCATCTATCCTTTATAAACACTAATCCTAACTCTAAAGTGATATCAAACCACTATCCCAACAGCACTTAAAAACAAAATTCGTATGAAATTTGCTGATCAACTTGTGCACACCGTTCACGGTGGCACTGCGATAATGACAGATTCTGCAGAATGTTTACATGTGAACCAAAACCTGCCTCAGTTAACTAGCTTACTAATTTTCTAGTCGGTCCAAGCCCCTGTAAAGATGGAGGGCTGGGTGTAGGGCTAGCAATCTACACCACTAAACCTATCAAACCGCTAGAGAAACTTCAAACAAAAAATGTATATTAAAATACAAAATTTCCAAACGATCTTATTCTTCTCTGGAATCGAAGAGGGAATTTGAGTAGTAAGCCTTCGAAACCAGTCAGCCAGCATGTGTCTACTCTCAAAGAAAGCAAAATAAGAATGGACGTGGAAGCACGCACAATTTACGAGACTGGAATACTGCCCAGGTAGTCAAAGAAGTGGAAGATATGTCCTAGAAGTGCTCAGGACGGATGTGGCTGTCAAAAATTCTCGACTTGAGAGTCAATAATCCACTCTGATTCAGTCACCCAGACGACAACCACGAAGACACTAAGGCACTGAGTGGCTATCATGATGTCACCAGTGGCAGCCAAAGCCCCATTTCGGTGGGAACCGATTCCATCTTGCAGGATGATGACATCAAGATTCCACTGATTGAAAGGAGTGGAGGAAGGTGACAATCATCCAATGCTACGCACAGTGCTGCAAACAACGTGGAACAAGAGAAGAGAGAATATTCCTGTAGACAACTACAAACAGTACCCAAATGGCGACATGGCAATCAATCCTCAATGGCGATGTGAATGGCTGCTGACTGGGAGCAGATAATCCAGTAAGAGATGATCTCGGAGAAATGAATGACAGTGTAGGACTCTTCTCAGACTTCTGCGCCTTCAGTGATATAGTGTTCGGAGGGAGTGTGTACAAAAACAAGGATATACACAAAGAAACATGGATTTCACCTGACGGACACACCACAAACCAAATAGACTTCATGTGAATAGTGCTGAAGGATGTGGAGACGCAGCTAGTCTGCTGGACACAAAGTCAAGGAGGGGGGAGCAGATGTGGGTGGGATCAGACCACCATCTAGCTGAAGGAACCTTCAAGGTGAAGCTGAAATCCCTCCAAACAACAACTGGAGTCAGGCCACTGTAATTCAAGTTCAACATTCAGAAAGTGAAGGACAAAACTACGAGGGATACCTTCACTACAGATCAGATCAGAGCAAAGTCGGAGACATTGAGTGACATCAGTGAGTAAACCTGTGTGGAAGTACATTGGAACTCTCTGAAGGTGATGTTTATGGAAACGTGTACAACTGTTCTAGGAAGAAGGAAGAGACGAAACAAGGAAAGGATGTCAACGGACACCTACCTGGAAGCAAATGGAAGAGAGGATAGGAGGATGGTGAGTGAGAGAGAGATAAGATGACTCAATGCGAAGATGGACAACAGAAGGAGAAGCTGGATTCAATGTACACAGCACGGAATAAAGAGAGACGTGAAGAAGAGTGCTAGGAAAGACAAAAGACAATGGTACGACACACTGACCGGTGACTGGGGCAGAACAGGCTGGCCACGGGCAAAAGAGACATCAGGACGCTATATCAGATAACCAAGTCTCTATCCGGATAGTGATCAACCCAGATGATGAAACCAATGAAAGATGCTCAAGTGGACCCGATCACCAAGGAGGGGAAATAATGGGCTGATGAGTTTAAAGGACTCTTGAATCGACCATCATCTGGGACTCTCCCTGAAAAACCACAAACAGCATGCTAGTGGACGCCGATCCTCAAACGAAAGAAGAAATCCTGAATGCGATGAAGCTACTGAAAGCCAACCGGGAAGGCAGCAAGACCAGATGTAATTTCCCCCTCCCCCACCGAAGTACTGAAAACGGACCCAGAGACTGCGTGGGATATGCTGACGTCATTATTGCAAAAGGTTTGGAAAGAAGGAAGGTTACCTACCGATTGGAAGAAACGCTGACTACCTTGTCAAGCTGCCAAAGAGGGCGACCTAGAAAGACCTCTGCGAGAACTGGCGTGGAATAATGCTGTTGTCCACGTCAGGTAAAATACTATGTGACGTCATCCTGGAGAGAATAGAAGATGCATTGGATGCAGAACTCCTCCCTAAAGGAACAACCTTGAATTCAGGAGAGGCAAATCACAAGTTTGAAAATTCCCATTCAGTCATAGAAAAGAAAAGGCGTTCAGCGAAGAGTTACTCTTTTCGGCGATATCATTCTCAAGCTGTACAAACCGCAAATTTATAGTAATTTTTCTTGGCAACAAAAGGAATATTTCCAAAGATGTGTTAATGCAATTGTTAATTTTTGACAACAAATTATGTAATTTAGAAGGCGTTAATCGGTTAGAAACTAAAATAAAGTTACAAAAGTAGGTTGGGTGACACGACTGTTGCTAACTCCATTTTCGTTTATTTTTAAGTGAATTCTACTCAGCTTATCAACTTAACTCCCATTCATTTTCAAGTGAATTCTACTCAGCTTATTAACCTAACTCTCATTCATTTTCAAGTGAATTCTACTCAGATTATTAACTTGACTCTCATTCATTTTTCATTGAACCCTATCAATTAGATTACGTCACCCAACCTACTTTTGTAACTTTATTTTAGTTTCTAACCGATTAACGCCTTCTAAATTACATAATTTGTTGTCAAAAATTAACAATTGCATTAACACATCTTTGGAAATATTCCTTTTGTTGCCAAGAAAAATTACTATAAATTTGCGGTTTGTACAGCTTGAGAATGATATCGCCGAAAAGAGTAAATCACAAGTTGATCAAATTTCAACCCTGTGCATCGTCATCACAGAACAATCATAGAATGCCAGTCAGACCTCTCTCTAGCTCAACTTCATCGACTTCGAAGAGGTATTCAGCAGTGTTGACCGAGAATTAATTTTGAATCTGCTTCAACACTATCTCGTGCTGTGTTCAAAGCTTCATCAACCTCATTCACCTGTTGGCTATATGACTGTGTCATGTGTCAGGTGATCCACAACGGAAACTCAGTGAGGCGTTTAAAGTTAACACAGGAGTACGACAAGGTTGTCGCATATTGTCATCGATGATACTCTTAATTGTGGTGGACTGGATTGTGTGCCAGACTGTGGGTAGCGAGAAGACAGGAGTACGCCGGACCACCAGTAAGCAGACTCTAGATAATCTGGATTTCGCAGGTCAGAATGGGAAAGGCAAGATACGCCTTCATCAACCTGAAAGCAGTTTGGAAATCTTCTACACCAGGCAGTATAAAGAACTAGATTCGGATTTTCAACAACAGTGTCAAATTGGTCCTTCTTCACGGATCAGAAACTTGCACTGCGTGTCACGAGAAGCATTTTCAAGAGGTTGCATACTTTCATCAACAGCTGCCTTTGCTGACTCCATATTGAAGATCAAATGGCCCGCCAGAAAGAACTGGTAACAAGAAACTGTGGGAATAAACCAACTAAGAGCCGATCGCTCAACAAATATGTAGGAGAAAATGGAGATGTATCGGGCTAACATCATCGAGGAGACCATGGAATGCCATCGCGCGGCGGGCCCTTTGGTGGAATCCCAATGGGAAGCGACGAGTGGGTCGTCAGTGCTAGGGTGACGTGGAGAAGATCGTGTGGGGTAGAGATGAGAAAGTGTGGGCATTCGTGATTGAAGCTGAAGAGGAAGGCAGGAAACAGAAGAAAGTGGAGATGTGTTGTTGAAGCCCTATGTTCCACTGGGAATTCAAGGGGAATAATAATCTGGAATCCAACGAATGGTATGCTTTCATTTTCATTGGTGCGTTTGAACTTCATGGTCTCTATTTTTGTAGGTTGACTACAACTGGATTCATTTTATTTCATCATGTAAAGTATGCCTAATTACTTGGTTCTTAATTTCATTTTTATATTTAACTGTGAGGTATTTATCATTGTCATATTATGTTTACCTTACTACATTAGATAGGTAAGAAGATTACTGTCTGTAATAATATTAGAATCTTGGAAACTTCAGTTTTTCGACCTTAGTGTATCATTGCGATTAGAATGTAGGTTCAGATTGTAGGCGTTTACTTCGTTCAGTTAATGTTCCTTCCCCCCCCCCCCCGTGAAATTCAATATACACCAGTGGTGTGTGTGTGCAAGTGTGTTGCGAGGATGCTGGATTTACAGCAATCGACACTTAATGATACTTTTGACAATGTTTATCGAGTGCATGGTTGACAGTATGTTAGAATGGGTTTAAATTAATCAGTCAGTCATCTCGTCAGTTTGTCCATTGAAATTCTTATCTGGAATGCTGTAGTTTTGCGACCTTACTGTACGTTAACGCTATTCTGTATCTTAAGATGATATATTTGTTAGAAGTCAGAGATGATATGCTGCATTACTTTTATTTGTTAAAATAATCATCATTGTATACATTATGAAGAAAGTTATATTTGGGTTTTATTTTCAAATCTGTCTCTCTTTTTTGAGTTTTGGTTTCCATTGTTCATGTGTGTATGTAGTCCTCTACTCTTTTAGAAGTTCGTAGGGCCGCAAAATACCCTAAGGAATAAAAGTTTTTTGAAAGTATTATTATTATTATTGTTATTATTATTGAGTATACAAATTCAGTGTTACATTTATTATTTAAAAAAACACTTTTTAAAAATAAAATTTAACCCGTCAAGTATTCTTTTATACTTAATCAGTTGTTACTCAAGATTTCTTTTCATAAACGTGTCTACAACAGTAGTAAACAGTTCAACTTTGCATCTACATTTTACTAAGTGTATAATGAGCTTTGAATGTTTTCGCCAGATTCGAAATACACTTCATTGAGCCTAAAGGTGGTGTGTATGGCATTCTTGATACATAAATGTAAGAGACCATTACAAGTTGATCTTTAATACTATAGTGGCAGAAGTTTAGAGAATTGGTAACGGACTTTTATATTGAGCAAAAGCGCATCATACTGATACGTTTTTAACCACATTAGAGGTCGGATAGGTCAGCGGACAGTCAACTATTTTGACTGGTCGGTGATGGGCCCAAGGTTATAGAGTGGGAGTGAAAAGTTGTCCAGTGAGGGTCCAGATTCAGCCTCAGTAGCCATGCATATACTAAATCAGTTGTCAGATGTTGTTCCCAGTGATTTGACTGGTTATAGGTTTGATCACAAGCTGACATCAGTTAGAAAGCCTTTGGGAAATCAGGGAGTACTAGACAGTTATTTTGGATTGAAAGTACGCACCCACCGGGGTTTGAACCCGAGACTTTCTGGTCACAAGGCGTGGTGATAAACCACTCACCCACTAGGACATGATCCAATCCCAACTTCTACCAATTCGGGATATACAGGACAACTTCCAGCCAATGTTGGCTTCGAGTAACTGTCCTCTCATCTGACTTGGTGCACCCAGTTGGTCCTGACTTCTCATTAGAACTCCAGGTTGCTTCAGTTTTACTTTTTGAAAATTTATCTCACACAAATACCTGCCATAAGACTGAGAGAGCTGCTAAAATCAGTTTTCACACGATTGTTGTTTATGTCGAAGTGCATATATCAGTTCACCTACTGCTGTGCAGCCAGGTACATCGGTCGTCCGACGCGAATCCTGTCCAAGAGGATTCAAGAACACTATCCAGTATGGTTGCGAAAAAGCAATAGTGGTGCTATAAGGAGTGCGATAATTCAACATCTCAACAAACACCTCCTTCAAAGTAATCTACAGAGTCAAGAATAACCTACCAAAGGTAATACAGTTTCGTCTTCTTTGTATCACTGACGCTCTGGCCATTCACATAGAAAAACAGTATCTGTGTATACAAAAGAGAATTACTCAACCACTTCTACTATCATGGTAACAACTTTCTTGATTTCTGATGACTGACTTAATTTTGTTTGTTTGCCTGTTTCTCCAACTGCTGATAATTCTCATATTCATTTAGAACTCTTACGTGATTTCGTATTCTCTACTTTGTTCCTATGTGTATCCTGAATGAAACACTCAATCATCAAACTATTCATATTATCACGGAACTCCTCTTTAACAGTCGTTTGTGACAACTCATCACCTCTGTTACTACACTAGTTTCATCAACACTCAATGTTCTTGACCGTTTCTGTATTGTGCAACTCTACCCAAAACTTACTAATTTTCACCTGTTTAGTTAAAATAACCATAACCAATTGTATTTTTGTTTGACAAACTTAATGTGCACATGCATACACATGCATAACTCATAAATATTTGTGATTGTACAGCAAAGAGAATGAATTCGCCGCCGAAAAGAGACTCTTCGCTGAACTATGTGTTTTGTTTTCATTAAGTATATTTCAGTGAACAGAAATGTTAAAAGCTTAAATTACTTTCAAACACAGGGGAAGACAATAAATGACGACGTTTGATTCCACCATAGGAAGCTGTTATTGGTTAACCCAACCGCTTTACTAAACAGTATATGCGAGAAGTCTTAAATATGTAAGATGAATGCATAATTTTACTTCGATTGCGTTTCGTTAGGTTAATTCGGTGCGTCGGTGGCACAGCGGTTAGGACGCTCGCCGACCATGCACATGGTCCGGGGTTCGATTCCCGGCCGACGCACTCCTTTACCTCGCTAAACCAGAAATAATGCTGGTGAAGAGGAAAGGTTGGGCATGAGGCTAGCAACCCCATCCTGTAAAAATTAAACACTGCTACAGAAACTTCAAGCCACTAGCCTGAGCCCTATGTTCCACTGGTAACGTGAAGGAAAAAAAGTTAATTCATTCCACCAGTCATCAGCTGGTTAGTTGATCAATATATTCTTGTTAATTGGCTTATGAATCTCATGACCCCTGGAATATTATTTTTGAATAATGCGTTAACTACACTGAAATTTCCACTTTACTGTTACAACATAAAAAAGTGAATGTATGTAATCTTCACTTCCTAAGCCCTAATATATACAATCCAATACAGATGAACAGATCCAGAAGTTAATTTCTTTAGAAGTTCTGTACAGTTTTATGGACGGTAATTAAATTACCAACTACTCTGCATGCAAAAGTATATCGTGGAAGGAGAGAACTTTCAAGTGATAACTGATTTTTTGAACACTGCCAACTTGATAATACAGAGAAATAAGTTCAGCAGGTTTCAGAAAAAAGTCTGACCTTCGTTTTGGAAAAGAATAAATCGAATGAAGATGTTCAATTGTCAGCTGTTTGAATCTGTCTGCCTTCAAAGCTGACAAACGCTTAGCGGAAATCCCACCTAATTCAACATCTGACGACGTAAAGTTTGTCAAGTTATATAGTATCTAGCCACTAAGAGAGTTAAAAACAGCTTTGAGCAGTAACCCTAGGCATATTTTGAAGATTATAAAAGTAAATAGATCATGAGTATTCAATAACCGGACTTCTTTCAGCATCAATTCAATCAATACACAAAGTGAAATCAACATTTAAAACCTATTAGAATCAGTAGCTAACAAATCCTAATTACAGGATTTTTATCATGAGCTGACATTAGTTAGAGAACCATTGGAAAACCTGGGAGTACTGGACAGCTGTTTCGTCCTAGTTTGGGACTCTTCAGCAGTACGCACCCACCGGGGTTCGAACCCAGAGCCTTCTGGTTACAAGGCGAGCTCGTATACCATTAAGCCACTGGGACCCGATCCAATGGTTCATGAATTGGCAGAAGTAAGAATTCATGAGCCATTGGATCGGGTCCCAGTGGCTTAATGGTATACGAGCTCGCCTTGTAACCAGAAGGTCCTGGGTTCGAACCCCGGTGGGTGCGTACTGCTGAAGAGTCACAAACTAAGACGAAACAGCTGTCCAGTACTCCCAGGTTTTCCAATGGTTCTCTAACTAATGTCAGCTCATGATGAAAATCCTGTAACCAATCAAATCCCTACAAACCAACACATGAGAAATCCTAATTAATTTTAATCACACGCCGTTGTTAATGTCAGATATAGCCAATGCATTTGAAAATATTCTTTCATCAATCTCATGGTATCGTGATACGTTTAACTACTGTTCCCCACCTTAATTGTGACTACTTCATCATTTCATAGGCCTGGTTGACCCTTCCTTCTCTTTTTATTCTATTAATTCTTTTCATCTAACTCTCTTTGATTTGCTGTTATTACCTATTTATTTTGTTCATTTGGAGTTTAAATAGCAGTAACTTTATTTTTACAGTGTGGGGTTGCTAGTCTCAAGCCCAACCTTCCCTCTTTTCCCGGCTTACTATCGGCTGATCGTAGTTTAGGACTGCGTCGGCCGGTGATCAAAACTCGGATCATATATTTGGTTGACGAGCATTCTACAGCTACACCACCGACGACTCTATTACTCCTCCCTAATTCCAGAAAATTCATGCCTCTGCCCCCCTTTCAGCTTCTGTTGTGTATTTTGGGATACTGTTTGTTGATGTACAAGCTGACTCTTTTTTCCTGCTTTATTCGATATTGCCAACTAAATAATAAGTATTAAGTTTTTAAAAACGATTTTTTCCCCTCCCCTTGTAACTATCTTTTGACTTTGTTAATTTTTACAATTCTAGCTAGTTCTATCAACTTGTTTGTATTTTACGTAACTCTTCTGAGTCATCCTGTTCTTCTTAGTCATCATAACTTTTATAAAAATTTCTTGATTATGTAATAACATGTTGCCAACGCCTAAGTATCAACTTTTTTTCGAATTCCGTAGTTAATTTTCACCCCTCTTTTAAAACTTAGATGTCTTGTTACTAACATCTATTAGTTATTTGTTTTGATGACCTTTAACATGTGACACTGACAAACTGATTAACTAAAATAACCACTTGATTGGTAAAAAATTTTGATGTAAAAAAAAACTATATATTAGTGTAGAGCCGATGATGAGGAACTAATTGGAGAAAGGAATATATTTCTTCGCTCAATCTGTTGTTGTTGTTTTTTCTAAATGTTCATATTGAGTCATCAGAGGCACAACAGCGAGAAAGAATTTTCTTCGCTGTTGTGTTTCTAAATGCGTAAATGGGAATTCGGAAATTCCAAATTGTCAAATTTATTTTCACTTTCTGTGTAATTATAATCTTGTTGGATTTCAGTTATGCATATATATTTTTTTTCGTTACAGATAAATGTTCTGTGATAGAGAGAAGAGTATTCAACAGTTGATAAAGTTACCGTATTTTAAGGAATAAAAATTTCCATCACTATTGTTTTACGTTTTGTATTTAGTGAGCTAGATACGACTGTTTATTTCAAATTAGCATAACTGCATATCTTATATTATGGACGTCTCCTACCTTCACTCAACCCCTATATAGGCTAGAAAGATGAATCACTACTAACAGATCACATCAAAGCCATATATGCTAGTTGCTTTTTGAGAATAACCTAGGGGACACCCTACTCATACAGAGTTCAATTTCCTGTTTTTGGTGACTTGAACAGAGGAATACCACTTCCTCAATAAAAGTTTTTTTTGCAGGAAATTTGTTTACACTAAAAAAACTCACAAACACTATTGTGTTTCACCAATAGTACGACAAACCAATACTTGAAATTATTTACAACTCGCCTTTACCTCAAGTGTTTTTTTGTTTTTAGCACTAGTTGGAAATAAATATTTGCTAAACTAAGTATTCACAATATTACTGATGTTATTATGGTACATGTGTTTGTCGATACTTAGATGGTTGCAGGCGATTGGCAGGAGAGAATTCAGTCTGCAGCAAACAAAGGACTAGACGCATTACGCTAGTTACTAACTAACTAACTAACTTAAGTGTCTAATCAAAACATGTGTTTGTCGTTGGATGTAAAGAATCAGTCGACTTGTTGATATAAACACTTGCAAAATTTAAACAAAAACGTGAGAAACCCTTGGAGTAATGAATGCATTTCATTTACATTGAAGTCACAGCTCAAGATTTTGTTCAGAAGGATGATGAGAGTTCCTCAATTGAATTAAACCCCTCAAATGTCACGACTACAAACACATCCACATGAGTTACAAACCGTCTCCATCATTTCAGTATTGTTCAGCGTAGCTGTAAACACTTTCAAGACCAGATGGTGAGAACGGAACAGTCTTAGGTCTTCTATACTAATTAAACCCTTCCTTAAAGTTCTGTATTTTTCTGTAAAGTTCTGAATTTTACTTAATCTTGAACCCTCTTTAAAGACTTTTAATGACCCCAGCCAGTTTGCTTATAAACATAGTAGGTGTACCTTAGATGCCGCTGTTGTTCTATATCATAATATAGTCTCTAGTTTAGATACAGGAGCCAAATATGTTCGGTGTGCCTTCCTTGATTACACATCTGCATTTGCCTCTGTTCCTAGGTCTCTCTTGCTAAGTAAGCTTACCGCAACACAGAGTGAGAGCTGGACATTCCTATTTTTCTGATAGGAAGCAGTACACTGTCTACAATGGAAGGTCCTCCACTACCTCACTTACTTTAGCTGGTGTTCCTCAAGGTGCTGTTCTCCTTTTCTGTTTTCTTTTTTCTTATATGACTTGCCCCATTCTGATATAGCCACTTTGTCAAGTATGCTGATAACCTCTCTGTCTCCATGCCTGTCAACTCTCAGTTAGACTGTTCCAAATTAAATAACTTTCTCTCGAAAATTAGTCAGTGGTCCTCTTCAAATGGTCTTAAGCTGAATCCGTCTAAATGTCAGGTAGTAAATTTCACTTTCAGACGAAAACGTGACCTAGAACAACTAGCTAGCTCACATGGTCCCACTATCATTGACGGCATAGAGGTTGAAACTACATCTAATGTCAAGTACCTTGGACTGAGTATTTCCTCCGATCTTTCCTGGTCCTCTCACATCTTGCTAGTTACTAGAAAGTTGTTTCGCTTAACGTTCTACGTTAGGAAGTTTAGGCAGTCTGGTATAAAGCAGTCTGTGCTTTCTCAGTTTGTCAACTCTTGTATTTTAACCATCCCTCTTTACTGCTCCCCATTAATCTTTCCTGGACTACTTAAGAAAGACTTTGCTTTGCTGCGTAGGGCACTAAAAGCTGTTGGTAGGGGAAGTGGGATTTCGTTAGACCAACTGGTTAACACAATTGTGGATAGACATATAATGTCATGTAAGAAACTAGCGAATTCCATATTGTCAGACCCCAAACACCCTCTCTATACGCAGCTCTCTCCTTGCATTCCATCTGGTAGAACTAGAAGCAACTATAGGAGGCTATATGCCAGGACTATCAAGTACAAAAACTCCACAGCTGTTATGTGATGAGAAAACTGTTAGGCATGACACGATCAACTTACTGCGGCACTCTAACAAATAGTTCCCATTAGCTTATGTTCTCCTTTCTTTGTTTCTATTATATTGTTGCTCACATATTCTATTACACACTAATTTTATATTTCATATCCTGTGGTGCATTGTTTAAATATGTGAATGCAATGCTGTTCTTTTTTATTTCTCTTTTTTTCTTTTTGTTGTTGTTGCTTTTTATTCTTAAAATCTTATGAAAATTTATGAGGTAATTAGATGCAACATTGTAATGCACGCTGAAAATTCCATACCTTTACCACAAATACTGTTTGGAATAAAGCTATTATTATTATCATTATTCAGTAAATGCACTGATACCGAGCTACACTGAAACTTTTAGTAGTATATGCCAAAACAAGTCTAAGTCAGTGACTTGAGGTTGACTTGTTCTGTTGATCTAGTGTTAGGGAATTCTCTATTCGCCATCAAGGTATTTCACTAAACTTCACTACTACTGGTAGACAGTACTTGAAATTCACCGGTCAAACTGTCTTCCACGCAATGATGAAAAAGTGTTAGGCTAAACTGTACTCGTTAGTTCACAGTATTTATCTTGACTTCAGAAAGTCAATTAAAGCATTCTAGACAACAGGGAGGATGGCTATGGAGGTTCTAATGATAAGAGCATTTCCCTGATAAAATCTTCTTAATAAAATGCCTGTTTTGAACATTCCATGTACCCTACTTTCACTGGTTACATTTCTTTCGGAACATGGAGGTACAGAACACGTTAAAAATAATTCATGAAAACAAAACACATAGTTCAGCGAACAGTCTCTTTTCGGCGGTGAATTCATTCTCTTTGCTGTACAATGGCAAATATTTATGAGTTATTTTATATGCATGTGTACATTAAGTTTGTCAAACAAAAATACAATTGGTTATGGTTATTTTAGCTAAACAGGTGAAAATTAGTAAGTTTTGGGTAGAGTTACACAATACAGAAACGGTCAAGAACATTGAGTGTTGTTGGAACTAGTGTATTAACAGAGGTGATGAGTTGTCACAAACAATTGTTAAAGAGGAGTTCCGTGATAATATGAATAGTTTGATGACTGAGTGTATTACTGAGGATACACATAGGAACAAAGTAGAGAATACGAAATCACGTAAGAGTTCTAAATGAGTACGAGAATTATCAGCATTTGGCGAAAGAGGCAAACTAACAAAATTCAGTCGGTCATCAGAAATCAAGAAAGTTGTTACCATGATAGTAGAAGTGGTTGAGTAATTCTCTTTTGTATACACAGCTCTACCCAAAACTTACTAATTTTCACCTGTTTAGCTAAAACAACCTTAATTAATTGTATTTTTGTTTGACAAATTTAATGTACACATGCATACAAAATAACTCATAAATATTTGCGATTGTACAGCTAAGAGAATGAATTCGCCGCCGAAAAGAGACTCTGGATGAGGATTATTCATGAATTAAAAATGATTAAGTAGGTAGGGTGATTTCTAGTGGTGTCTGTTTAAATAGTGATATACACAGCAGTGCAGTGAGTTTTGTGATTGACGGGATGGAGATTTGAGGAGGGCAGAGTAATGACATCTTATTTTGTATTTTTGACCTACGTCGTACTTCCGAATTCTTTTTCGAAAAGTGATGTAACAAAGGACTGTCAGTCTAATGACTAGTATCAGCAAATGAAGGAGTATAGAATAAGAAAGAATTATGAAATATTTTCACAGACTTACACGATATCCATTTGGTGCACACGATGATCCACATGGATATATATTTGCACAGAAATAATCCGCTGAATTGTATCTTTCATGACATGTTTTCGTGTTGAAACAGCTATAGACCTTTTCACAATTATATGTGTCTGAATATACCCAAGAACGCTTGAACAATGCCTGAACAGGATTTCCCGTAATCAAGGCTGAAGTGTGTAAAACAGAAACACTGTCAATAAGTCTCAGAATCTTAATCTATTTTCAACAGTACAATAAAAGTTTGATGCTATCATTAACAATGTTATATCATAGTTATAAGTGTGTTCTGAAACAGAATTCAGTAGAGTTGTTTGCCACAATTGTTATTTGTATGCACGTTAATAATCTGATTTATTGATTTATTATTCACATTTCAACTAATTGAGTTGACTCGAACACAACTGTATTTCACAGACTGTATTTACTTAGTTTCTGTTTAATGCGTGAAAATCAGTCTATTTTCATAGTCTTTATTGATAACAGTCTTAGATCCTCTTAAATATGAACAAACGAAGAAGAAATAATTACAGCTTAAGCAGGTATTATAAGTGTTAAGACGGATAAGCTTCTCTGTCAGGCGTGAAGTCATGATTTATGCATGTACTGACATGATAACCTTACTGGACAGGTTTGATTTGTTTATTTGTGGCTTAATTTTCTGAGGGATTTTCGATGTCAGATAACAATTCATATTTGTTTAATTATTGCCCTAATTCCTGAGGGTTTTGCATGTATAAGATACTATGTATTTTGTTTAATAAGGGGAGCAGTCATTCTTTCCAGTCTGACTTTTGTGTTTATCTCAGCGTGGGAGATATTTTCAAGAGATCACTTAGTAATAGTGTTGTGTCCTGTAGGTGCATTCTAGTCAAGTTAGACGGAACCCACAACCCAGTATATCATTCCATCACAATAGTAAAATACATGGTGGGTGAATTTTACCTGTCCTCATTTCGACTAAGAAACATATTCAGCAGCTATGACAAAATGACCATAACTTCACAATAAGAGGAAGTTAGTGGATCAGTTAAATTAATGTAAAGGTACGGTATTGTATAAGATTGTGGTTGTTCTGAAGCTGCACTGCACAACGTAGAATAGAAATTAATTGTAAGAAGCACTTATTAAACGTAAGTTACCTATAAACTATTGTTTGAGCGTTATATTTTCCACTACATTGATAAGACTAAAAGTAAACCACTTTTGGACTATAATTGTCAGTCTCTTGATAACTCGCGGGTTAAGCAATATGAAGACTGGATTCATCACTTCAGACTGTGACACCTGAGTAATAAAATGTACTAGCTCAACCACCAGTGAATTATTAAATACAAGGAAGGAATATCTGAAACCCTACGAAGGATTCTTAATAAAGTAAGAATCAGGGTGGCATTCAAACCTAAAAAATCACTCATGTTCAAACTGTAGTGACCTAACTGCACAAAAGAATTTAACCTACGAAACACCTTGCCATGACTATGAATTCACTTATATAGGTTAGACCAGTAGATTGGAGTGAGCTAGTTTAGTGGAACATAAGAGTTTAGCTATTTGAAGAATGACTGACCCCAGGGAGATGAGTAGCCGAGAGAAAAACCAATCGGTCTCAATGCATGCACTAACGCACAATCACGCAGTAGTTTGGGAGAGAGCTACGGTTCTAAAAAGTGATATAATTAGGTGAAGAAAAAAAGTTAATCACTGAATCTTTGTTTATCTAATCTACACCCCAAACTTGCAATAGGAATGATGCAACACAAATACTAGAGTCATAGAAAATGTTACTACCAATAAAATTAAAGGATAAAAAGTAGTGGAATTATATAAACTAAGTATGAAAGGTATTTAACCTGGCTTAGTTTACCTAATCGCTAGTTTTCTAGCCTGTCCCAAACCCGGTGAAAGATGGAGGTTCGGGCATGGGGCTAGCGGCCCTACCCCGGAAAATCAATCAAACTGCTAGAGAAACTTCAACGCACAAGAAAGAAAAGCAAAACATAAAAAACAGATTTATTTTTCGCCAGAATAGGAGAAACGAAATGTCGCGGGCTAGTGAAAGCCTTCGGGAAAACAGTCAGCCAGCCGATGTGTCTACTCTCGATGAAAGCAAGAATAAGAATTTTGACGTGGAATATTCGTAAAATGTACGAAGCTGGGAAGACTGCCCAGGTAGTCAAAGAAGTGTGAAGATATGTCCTAGAAGTGCTCGGAATCTGAGAGAGCAGACAGGACGGATGTGGACTGTCAAAAAATTCTCGACTTGAGAGTCAATAATCTACTCCAGTCTGGTCACCCAGACGATAACCACGAAGACACTAAGGCACTGAGTGGCTATCATGATGTCACCAGTGGCAGCCAAAGCCCCATTTCAGTGGGAACCAATTCCTCCATCCTGCAGGATGATGACAGCAAGATTCCACTCATTGAAAGGAGTGGAGGAAGGTGACAATCATCCAATGCTACGCACAGTGCTGCAAACAACGTGGAACAAGAGAAGAGAGAATATTTCTATGGACAACTACAAACAGTAATGACCAACATCCCAAATGGCGACATGGCAATCCTCATGGGCGATGTGAATGGCTGCTGACTGACGGTGAGCAGATAATCCAGTAAGAGAACTCATCATGGGTGAAGAGTCTCTCGGAGAAATGAATGAGAGTGTAGGACTCTTCCCAGACTTCTGCGCCTTCAATGATATAGTAATCAGAGGGAGTGTGTACAAACACAAGGATATACACAAAGAAACATGGATTTCACCTGACTGACACACCACAAACCAAATAGACTTCATGTGAATAGTGCTGAAGGATGTGGAGACGCAGCTAGTCTGCTGGACACAAAGTCAAGGAGGGGGGAGCAGATGTGGGTGGGATCAGACCACCATCTAGTTCAAGGAACCTTCAAGGTGAAGCTGAAATCCCTCCAAACAACAACTGGAGTCAGGCCACTGTAATTCAAGTTCAACATTCAGAAAGTGAAGGACAAAACTACGAGGGATACCTTCACTACAGATCAGATCAGAGCAAAGTCGGAGACATTAAGTGACATCACTGAGTAAACCTGTGTGGAAGTACATTGGAACTCTCTGGAGGTGATGTTTATGGAAACGTGTGCCACCGTTTTAGGGAGAAGGAAGAGACGAAACAAGGAAAGGATGTCAACGGACACCTACCTGGAAGCACAGGGAATAGAGGATAGGAGGATGGTGAGTGAGAGAGAGAGAAGATGACTCAATGCGAAGATGGACAACAGAAGGAGAAGCTGGATTCAATGTACACAGCACGGAATAAAGAGAGACGTGAAGAAGAGTGCTAGGAAAGACAAAAGACAATGGTACGACACACTGACCGGCGACTGGGGGAGAACAGGCTGGCTACAGGCAAAAGAGACATCAGGACACTATATCAGATAACCAAGTCTCTATCCGGGAAGAGATCAACCCAGATGATGAAACGAATGAAAGATGCTCAAGGGGACCTGATCACCAAGGAGGAGAAACAAATGAAACAATGGGCTGATCAGTTTGAAGGACTCTTGAATCGACCATCACCTGGGACTCTCCCTGAAAAACCACCACAAACAGCATGCCAGTGGACACCGATCCTCCAACGAAAGAAGAAATCCTGAATGCGATCTAGCTACTGAAAGCCAACCGGGAAGGCAGCAGGACCAGATGGAATTCCTCTCGAAGCACTGAAAACGGACCCAGAGACTGCGTGGGATATGCTGACGTCATTATTGCAAAAGGTTTGGAAGGAAGGAAGGTTACCTACCGATTGGAAGAAACGCTGGTTATCTTGTCAAGCTGCCAAAGAGGGGTGACCTAGATAGACCTCTGCGAGAACTAGCGTGGAATAATGCTGTTGTCCACGTCAGGTAAAATACTATGTCACGTCACCTGGAGAGAATAAAAGATGCATTGGATGCAGAACTCCACCCTAAAGGAACAACCTGAATTCAGGAAAGGCAAATCACAAGCTGATCAAATTGCGACTCTATGCATCGTCATCACAGAACAAAGCATAGAATAGCAGAGAAACCTCTATCTCAATTTACTCAACTTGGAAAAGTAGACAGTACTGACCAAGAAGTTACTCGGACTGAATCAACTCGTGCTGTGTTCAAAGCTTTATCAACCTCATACAAAAGTTGGCCATATGACAATGTCACGTGTCAGGTGATCCACAGCGGAAACTCAGCGAGGCGTTTGAAGTTAACACAGGAGTACGACGAGGTTGTCGCATATTGTCATTGATGATATTCTTAATTGTGGTGGGCTGGGTTATGTGACAGACTGTGAGGAGCGAGGAGATAGGAGTACGCTGTACCACCGATAAGAAGACTACATAATCTAGATTTCGTGCATGTATCATTTATGGCCAATGTCACGCAAACTGGAAGACTCGCAGGCGAAAACCAACTAAGTGTCTGCAGAAGCAGCCGGCGAAGACAGGTGGAAGTTGAACTGAAGTTCTTCCACAGAACCCTTCGAATTGGACGAGAATGCTTAGAGTAAGCTGTGTGATCAGAAGAACAATTTAATTACGTTTTCAACCTAGACCTCTTCATTATGATAGTTTTAGTAGGTCAATTAGTCTATGGTAGGCAAATTTGGACGTGTATTGTTTTCTGTATACACATTTTGGGATGCATGTGTTTAATCCAAAGTGCTTCCATCACCTTTAGTAACCTTGATTTAGAGTTATGTGAAATAATTGAGAAGCAGTCATTAGTACTGACCAGACATTAATAAATGCTATACAATGCTTGATTCATACGTTAAGGAGGCCGTCGAATGACATCGCGCGGCAGGCCCTCAAGTGGAATCCAAATAGGAAGCAACGAGTGCGTCGTCATAGGGTGATATGGAGAAGATCGTGCAAAGAAGAGATGAGAGATTATGGGCAATCGTGAACCTAGATGACGAGAACGGTAGAAAATAGGACAAAGTGTAGATGTGTTGTTGAAGCCCTACGTTCCACATGGAAACCAAGGGAATAATAATAATGCCTGATGTTGGATTTCTATTCAGACTTAGTACATTTGGGTTTTCTATGTGACTTAATTAGTCCTGAACTCTTTGGTTTGTAAAAATAAGTTTCGTAGTTAAATAATTTTTTCTGCTGTTCGGAGTGAACTAATTTGAAATTCTATTAAAAGTAAT